CTGACTGGGGATCAAACTTGCAACCTAGATATGTGCTCTGACTGGGAATTAAAACCCCAACTTTTTGGTGTATAGGACAGTGCTCCAGCCAACTGAGCCACCGGCCAGAGCTAATTGAGTATTAATTTGAAGTCACCTGTTGAAATTGTTGTTCTAAAATTCACTGCTTTCCTGCTTCATAATTTCCTGAATATAATTTAGTCTTCATTTGATTATTGAGAGTGTTGACTTTATTCATATATAAGTTTACCTTGAGTAGTACTTTGTATAAGAAAGTTAATATACTCAACATGGTGACCACACTAACTTTTGGATATACTTTTTATTTATGTAATTGGGTACGCCAGCCTGTTTTCTTACACCTTTTTAAAAAAAAAGTTTAATAAATACAAAATTTAAATATTACCTCCATTTTATTATGCATAGATACAATTTGTTACATCTGTTACTTTAAATATTTTGCTTTCAACTGTTATAATTGTATATGGTTTAGGTCTCTCCTATGCCAGCCACTCACTCTAACCTAGGTCATTTCCATGGATTTGTAAATGTTTTCAAGCATCTATTTAAAACCCTTCATTGATGAACAAAATGTAGTGCATAAATACAATGGAATTTAGCCGTAAAAAGGAAGGGAATTCTGACACATGCAACAACATGGGTGAACCTTGAGGACATTATGCTAAGTGAAAGAAGTCGGTCACAAAAAGGCAAATACTGTATTATCCCATTTATATGAGGGACCAAGTAGTCAAATCCATGGAGACAGAAAGTAAGGTGGTTGCTGGGCTGGGGGAGGGAGGAATGGGGGAAGCTGTTGTTTAACAGGTGTTGAGTTTTAATTTTACAAGATGAAAAGAGTTCTAGAGATTGGTTGCATAACAGTATGAATGTACGTAACACTGAACTGTACACATAAAAATGGTTAAGATGGTAAAGTTTATGTTATATGTTTTTACCACAATTTTTAAAAAAGTTTGGAAATTTTTGGCAATAGTTCGTTTTATCCTGCATATTTTCTATTAGGAATCAGGGATTGTATATGTTGATAGGGATTCTAAGTAATTGAAACATGAAATTACTCCTGATTAATAAAGTGCACATAGATTTAAAAAACAAAATAGATTTCCTCCATCCTACATTCTCCAGCTACCATTCTCTTTCCTGTCCCTTGTGGTCAATCAATGTTGATTAGAAATGGTAGCACCTTTTGTATTAGTTCATTATCATTTACCTGGTTGATCCTGCCTCCCATACCTGGCACAGGGGTCCCTGAAGGCAGGGTGCATGTTTTGGGACTCCCTCAAATCCCCTCTCTCAGCACAGTGCCATGCCTGCTGAAAAGTGCTCCCACCTTTGATTAATACCCTTGCTTGGTGAAATCTTATATTTTAAACATATTTCCTCATTCTTTCCTTATAACAAATAATTATTGAGTTGTGGTGGGAGGTGAATAAAATATAGTGGGTGCCTTCAAGGTGTTTAAAAATCTAATTGTACGGAGAAACCAAGATGGTGGCATAGGTAAACACCTGAAATTGCTGCCTCTTACAACCACTTCAAAAATACAACTAAAAGACAAAAAGGACATCACCCAGAACCACAGGAAGGCTGGCTGAGTGGAAATTCTACAACTAGAAGGAAAGAGAAAAGCACACTGAGACTCAGAGGAGCTGCGGAAGTAAAGTGCAGAGGTACGGAGGTGCATGTGGAAAGGACTGGCAACTGAGGACGCGGTTGTCTTTTTTAATCGGGAGGGAGACACAAGCTCCTGATGGCCCCGACTCCAGTTCCCGGCGAGTCTCTGGGGACATATGGGGAGAAACTGGACTGTCTGGCAGCGGGTGGAACTCGAGGATGGCTTTCTCTCAGAGGTGCTTGCAGCGATTACCTCGGGACACTGAGACCCAGGACCTCTTAGGGCAGGACTGAGGAGCAGCCATAGCTGTTTGCTCCACCCTGTTGATTCCCTCAGACTCCACCCCACCCAAGCTGTATGCAGAGGCTTTTGCATATGAATGACCTGGCTCTTTGAAATCTAAAATTACCTAACAAATTGCAGCTGGGTCAGAAGGATCCAGACATCCAAAAGAAGGCCCAAGGCCCCACAGCAGCTTGCATTGCTTCACAGCTGGGCCTCATCTGGGCACCTCCAAATCCCAAACTAAGAGCAATCTGCAGATCTCTCCGTAGCTCCTGCTGGGTAGCTTCAGGCAGAGGCTAAATTAGCACCTCCTTAGAGATCCAAGTGCCAGTGTACCCAGTGGTCAGAGTGGGACCATCCAGATTGCAACTCCTCAGATCCATAAGGGACACAATCAGGGGCCAGACTCAGTGAGCACCAAAGCCTGACTAAAGCAAGTCTTGCCTCATAAGGGTGTCTCCAGCACAGAAGTTCTCCCCCTTAGACACAGCTGACTCTCACAGCCAATTGGCCTGGAGGTCAATTCCTCCCAGTGATACCTACATCAATCAAGGCTTAACTACGACAAGACTGTGCATAAAGCCCAAAGGGGGGTGCACCAAGAGCGTCTACCTCAGGTAATTGGGACACTTAGCACAGAAAGCCACTCTATCGACACAGTGAAGCATAAAAATGCCAAGACAAAGAAACAGGACACAAAGGACAGAAATGGAGGAAAGCAAACTATTGGATATAGAGTTCAAAACCACCTTTTTAGGTTTTTCAAGAATATTCTGG